GAGCACACTTAGTGTTTTCACTTTTGAATCTTTGAGACCTGAGCATTATCTTCTAGTATATACATTGCACTACTATTTCATGGCTTTATTGTTTTTTTAATTGCTTCATAAAAACTGATTTATTAAAAAACTGATTTATATGTCTTAAACAGCTCTTTGAGCACATATTTTATGTGACTCATTTCCAATTCCTGCTTCTTTCTCTGTCCTTTTCATTAACCATTTAAATAAGCATAAAGCAGTTGGCAGAAAGCTGGTCATATTTTTTTTCAAACTTAACTCTTCCCTGTGTAACATGGGATTAGTTAATTTGGGGGGAAATGTGATTCATTAGAATTATTTAGCTTTTGAAAGTGTTCAAAATGTTACATAGATTTTATCCTATTCTAACAGGTATAAATTTTTAAAGTTGTAAAGTACTCAATTCAGCATATGTAATGTTTGTTTTTATCTGATACTCTTATTTTAAGGCTACCATTTTTTGTCTTATATAAGAAGTTGGTCATTACACAAAGTCAGAAGATATTGTCCTGTGTGTGCTTTAGAAGCTTTATGATTCTAGCTTTTATGTTTAGATCTATGATTCAACTCAAATTAATTTGTGTTTATGGAGTGAGGTGTAGGGATGGACGTTCATTTCTTTTTCCATATGGATAGCCAGTTGCCCAGCATTATTTATTAAAACAATCTTCCTTTCTCTATTCAATTGACTTGGCACCTTGATTAAAAATTAATTGATTATGGGCTGGGGGTGGTGGCTCATGCCTCCTAGTACTTTGGGAGGCCACGGCAGGAGGATTGCTTGAGGTCAGCAGTTCAAGACCAGTCTGAGCAAGAGCAAGATCCTATCTCTACCAAAAATAGAAAAAACTAGCTGGGCATGGTGGTGCACACCTGTAGTGCTAGCTACTTGGGAGGCTGAGACAGGAGAATCACTTGAGTTTGAGGTTGCAGTGACCTATGATGACATCACTAAACCCAAGTCTGGGAAACAGAGTGAGACTCTGTCTCAAAAAATATTAATTATGTATATGTAGGTCTATTTCTGAAATCTCTAGTTTTCTACACTTACACCAATACCATATTGTATTGATTACTGTAGTTTATAGTGGGTCTCGAAATCAGATATATAAGTCCTCTAAATTTTCAAGATTATTCTGTTCTAGATCCTTTGCCTTTTCACACACATTTTAGAATAAATTTATCTTTCTTTTATTTTTTTTAAAAGGACCTGCTGAGATTTTGATTGTATTGAATCTATAGGTCAATTTGGATACAATAGATTTCTTAATGATATTGAGATTTCCAATTCATGAACATGGTATATCCCTTTTAGTAAGTCATCTTAAATATATCTCAGCAATGATCTGTAGTTTCCAGTACAGAAGCCTTGCAATCTGTTGTTAGATTTATTTCTATTTATTTTATGTTGTATGTCAATGTAAATGCTTTTTGAAATTTCATTCTTAATTCTTTGTTGTTAGGATATAGAATTACAATTTATTTTTGTATAAAGATTTTGCACACTACGGCCTTGTAAAATTCACTTCTTAGTTCTGGTAGGGTCTTCTTGTGTGTATGTAGATTCTTTATGGTTTTGTACATATATATGACCTGCTAGTTGTGACAGTGTTGCCTTTTCTAATTTTTTTTAACCTTTTCATTGAGTTATGGCACTGGCTATGACTTCCAGTGTAATGTTGAATGGAAATCGTCAAAGTGAATATCCTTGGCTTGTTTCCAATCTTAGGGGAAAAGCTTCCAATATTTCACCATTAAGCATGATGTTAGCTGTGAGTTTTCATAAGTGTGCTTTATCAGATTGAAGAAACACCCTTTATTACTAGTTTGCTGACAGTTTTTACAATATCATGAATGAGGATAGAGTTTTATCAATTGCTTTTCTGCATCTATTAAAATAAGTTTTCCCCTCATTATGTTCATGTAGTAATTACACGGATTTTTAAGTGTCTAATACAGGTATTTAAAGTTATACATTTCCCTCCTCTTTAGTTCCATCCACAATTTTGATATTTTGCATTTTGATTTTCATCGAGTTTGACATAATTCTAATTTCCCTTGTGCTTTCTTTGTCCCATGTGTATAGATGTATATTGTTTAATATCCAAATATGTGAGGATTATTGATTTCTAATATAATATCCTGAGACTTTATATGAAACAAATAGAGACAAAGAGAAATAGAATAGAATAGAAACAAACATTAGATTAGTTCTCGGTGCTTCATACTACCTTCACACGTAAGTGTTGGGCACAGACACAGGTGTGTTGATGCGTGTGTAGCAGAAACCTACCATAAGGAAATAATGTGCTCCTAGGACAGAGTAAAAACACACACTAAAGCATTCTTGGATAGTAAGGCATGTACCTTAAAAGCATATCCTTAGTATTTAATTCTGAAGGGTCTCTTCAAGACTTCACAGTATCTTAAATCTCTTTCAAGCCTATCAACCTTATAGGGAAAAGTTTAGCATGATTTTAAAATCTTTGTTCACAAATTTAAAACTATTAAAGAGAAAAATTAAATCCTAGCTAACATAATATGTTTGCTGCCTCATTTCTAACTGCAGAGAGGTTCTTACCCTCTGCCAATGTCATATTTGGTGAAGCTTTAAAAACTTCAGTCTTCAGACAAATAGTATACAGTTTGTTCATATGATACCTGTAACTCTGGCATTCCGAAACCTATAGTCACCGATTAAAATCTGTAAACTGTTTCCTGGAATCAGACCTTCTTTTCTTCTGTTTAGATTTTTCACCAACCTAAATAATAAATAAATTAGTAGCCAACAATGGTAATACTAAGGTAATAAAAACATTATATAATAAATATGCCGCATAACAGCTCAAATTTTCACAAAGCTGTTGCATGTGTTCAAAGACCTTCATGACACTATGCTTGGGTCCTTTGAGTAACCTACAAAGTACTTAGGTTACTAGAAAAAAATGCTTATTACTTTAATGATCTGTCATTAACTTTTACCCTCATGTGTACATTCTTCCACTTTTAGGGTTAGAGTACACAGTCAATGTAGCATTTCAGTTCAAGTTATTGACACAATGAAGACAATTTTTTCATTTAATATTTCCATAAGAATTACGGAAGCTTCATTCAATCCCCCTCCAAACAATGTTTCCTTCCTGCTTTAGGTTCTCTCATAATTAAATGCAGAATCGTCTTTGCAATTAGTGCTACATGAAGTCAAAGCATAAAGGTAGAATGATAAGACTAAAAAGTCAATATTTGGCTGGGCACGGTGGCTCACGCCTATAATCCTAGCACTCTGGGAGGCCGAGGCGGGCGGATTGTTTGAGCTCAGGAGTTCGAAGCCAGCCTGAGCAAGAGCGAGATCCCGTCTCTACTAAAAATAGAAAATAAATTAATCGGCCAACTAAAAATATATAGAAAAAATTAGCCAGGCATCGTGGCGCATGCCTGTAGTCCCAGCTACTCGGGAGGCTGAGGCAGTAGGATCGCTTGAGCCCAGGAGTTTGAGGTTGCTGTGAGCTAGGCTGACGCCATGGCACTCACTCTAGCTCAGGCAAAAGAGTGAGACTCTGTCTCAAAAAAAAAAAAAAAGTCAATATTTGAACTGATAAAGAGAAGTGTGGCTACGTTATAAAGCAGCAAAGCATGGTCCCTGACACATAGTAGAGGCATTCATTAAATATGTGGTTAATGAATGACTTAAATGACCAAATAGAATGTGATCTGTACCCATTACAAAGCCCAGATGTACCAGCTAAAACATCTGAGCCCACGGTAAACCACAAAAGAACATGCAGACACATAGTATGTCATTCTTTCAAAGCATCTTTCACTCACTAAAGGTTAATGTTCCTTTCACTGAGCTACACAGGCATAGCTGAAGCAATGAAAATGAAAGCCATCGTTGTGATATTTCTGCTTTTGGAGACTGTATAACAAAGATACAGATAAAGCAGAAGATTGGATTAGCTATCTATGTGCTCCAGCCGGAGATCATCACAGGCATTGCAAACACACCTACCATTGACCCTCAGCATCCTCATGGAGAAGCTGAATGACATCTCCATTTCTAATCAGATCTTCTGAGCCTCTCTTCCTGCAGTCTGCTAGGGCTTTATATTTGCCTGGAGACTATAAAGTTGTTTTGAAAAATTACATTACAAACTTGATTGCAAAACTATTTGTATAGCTGCCTGCTCTGTGACGTAAAATATTCACTCTTCAATGGCAAATGTGGTAGCTGCAGTTTTGAAGGAACAGACGGACGTGGAGCAGTTTGTGATGAAAAAAAAAGCAGAACATATGTTTATTTAACCTGAAGAATTAATTTTTATTTGAAAAAAGAGAATTACAACATGAAATGTACAGAAAATAATAGAGCACAACTAATTTGTTACATGAATTATAAGCATAAATCCAGAAAAAACAAACATGAAAATATTAATTTTTAAATACTCTTATCTGTAAACTATTTTCTTGAAAATTTTATATTGGCACATACAAAAGACAGTAGCCCTGAATAAAATTTACTCACACCCCCAAGAGAATTTCTGGGCTTTGTATTGTTTTGCACAGGTTAAAATAATGGGTCCAATTAAAGGGTGGGGTCCAATAATGGATTCAATTAAAGCATATTAAAGCCTAATGTTGTGCTTTACTTGACCTTAGTCATTTTGCAGCCATAATTTTAACTAAATTCATTAATAAGCTAAATAATACAAGGCACACTGATTGCATTTGGTTACAAAGTAGACAGGGAAGAAATGATTTTCAAGTCCAAAAGTATTCT